CCTCCCCTGCCCGCCCCCCCCCCCTCAGGGCTGCCGGCTGCTGCACGGCTGTGTGACAGTGCCCGCAGGCTGCTCGCTGGGGCAGAGCCACACCAGGGAGGTGGCTCCTTACAGCCAGGGGTCTGCTTTGCTGGAAGTGACGTCATGGTTTTTTAAAATAATATCATAGTTTATTTTGACATCATCTTGTGCCTTTTTCCATCTCAGTTGTCACCCCCGTGCAGGAGACAACATTAATTTTTTAAGATTTACGTATTTCTGCACACAGACGTGGGTGCAGGCCAGAGGTGCAGGGGTGGCGAGAGGACCCACCAGAGACAGTGGGGGGAGCAGAGCAGACAGTGAGTGAAACACACTGCTGAGGGGCGCAGCGGGGAGACAGGAGAGGCCTGCTGCGCCCTGGGGTCCCCGTGGCCGGGGATGGCACTCACGGGAGGCGGCTACGGCCAGCTTCGCAGTGCTGCACGTTAACACGTTGGCCACCAGCAAGGCCCAGCAGCAGCAGCAGCAGATTTTATCAGGCTGCCTCCTCCCCCTCTCGAAGACCCTCTGCATCCTAGCTGCCTTCGTGAGGTGCGGACCCTGAGCGGACAGCCCCGGGCAGGCGGCCCCTCCACTGGGGTCAGGCTCTGCTGTCTCAAAAAGAAACCAGCCCGCACCTGCCCACGCCTCAGCCCCTCCTCCTTCCAAGTTGAGTCAGCTCTCCTAGCTTCTCAGTGCCAAACACAGCATGTTAGAGTACAAAGGATTGCACAAGTCTTGAAAGGTATTTTCAGAAGTACAAAACACAAAAACTGGAATATCCACTCCGCACACATGTTTGAAGAGGAGTGCTCGTCCTGGTACCAGCAGCTTGCTCTTAGCGTTCATGATCCCCTTATCACGCCTTGCCTTTATCTGTGTTGTCTGCCTTTGAAGCACAGCCAGCCCCCGGGTTGTGCCACGGGTTGGGTTGGAGGGTTGGAGGCCGGGGAGCTGGGCCGCGTGGAGGAAGGGCGGCAGCTCTCTTCACGTGGCCGCTGCAGCCCGCTGCAACACCAGGAGCCATGTCAGCGGGGCGAGGCGGTGAGGAGGCAAGAGGTGACGGCAAGTCATTCATAAAGCCGGGAGCAAGGCCTGCCCACGCGCCGTCCAGCACATTCCGCAGGAGCACTGCATCTCCGACCTCCACTCGGGCCCCGCAGGGTGCAAGCAGGATGAGTTCTTATGTTGGAGGCCAAGACGCCAGGCCGGCCTACGCGCCCCAGGGTGGGTTTGCATTCCGGGAGGGGTCTCAGAGCTCTGTGCCGAGTCCTTGAAGAGCAGAGTCCCGAGTCGCCCCAGTGCCGGCTGGTATGGGATGAGCAAATCCCAGGGCTCCCGTTCCCGAGCGCCGGCTTCTCGGGTGTTTAACCTGGAGGACTCCGGAGTCCTCGTGCGTACCGGGGGAACAGTGTAGAGTCAGTGTTAAAATACAGACAGACAGCCTGGCTGTAGACCTGCAGCCACCCACAGGGGACAGGACACTCTGCACCGGGTGAATGACACGAGTCCACGGCAGCGCTTCACCAAGCCTCAGGGAATGCTGGAGACGCCGAGATTTACGTGTTCTCGAGGGCCAGGGAGGACGAGGGCCCCCCGTCGCCTGGCTGTGCGGTCACCGCCCAGCTGGCTCCTTCACTTTCAGTCTTCACCGTGTGCTGCTGTCCCTGCGCTCAGCGTGGCCACAGGGCCTTCGCACCGGCCACTGCTGCCCGGAGACCCTTCCTGGAACACCGCGAGCCGGCACAGTGACGTCCCTTGGGCCTGTGCAGCTCCCTGGCATCAGCACCCGCCCCCTCCCTCCACCTTCGTTCACCCCGGCAGGCTATTGCCGCCGGGGCAGCGGCCCGCGTCTGCGCTGGCGTTTACCGTGGAGAACCGCGCTGTCGGCTCTGTGTGGCCGGTGACTCCACAGCGACCGGTAGCCCCCACGTCCAGTCTGAGCCGAGCTGGCCGCCGCCGCCACCCCAGACAGCGTAGGGCAGCCACTTACCGCCAGGAGGATCTCCTGTGCTGTCCGGAAGGCCATTTTCTTCTTCTCCCTGGAAACCGAAAGAGCAGCCTGCATTAGCGTCACGTCCACAGTGAGTGGACAGTCACCCACTTTCCGGCTTCATTAAATCTCCACCCAAACCCGGGGCTGGGGGGGGGGGTTGGGAGAGGGGGCCTCCGAATGTCCTGGGGGACAGAGGGCCTGACAAGGGTCTCTGCCCTTGGGTTGGGGCCCCTTCAGCGATGATGCGCTTGGTATTGCCCGTGTCTCCATGTCGCGCCAGTCTGCTACGGCTTCATCTTTGCTTTGTTTCATGTTTCTGGGTGATTTCTATGTCATGCCCTACTTTCTGCGAAGCCTGTGGCTTGTCTATCGCGTTGATAACGGCTTCCGACCTGTTGCTCTTTTTAAGTCTATACTGTAAAGTGACAAAGAAAAACCATTAAAAAGCAGGTCACGGGCCGCGCCGGTGGCGCCGCAGGACAGGACCCCGCGAGCGGCCACGTGTCGGAAGGGCAGAGACGGGCGCCAGGGGCTAGAAGTCGCTGAGCCCTCAGGCCCAGGGCACGGTCCCGAGGTGGGAAAATCGATCCATAGAGAGGGAGTCTGACAGAAACGCTGCTTTGCTTTGCCGGTTCGAGCGCACACGCGTGAGCGCTTTCTCTTCCAGGGCTGTTCTGGCCAACTGCGGGGAGACCTGCCCCTTCCGCAGCAGAAGTGGGGTCACACCTGGCGCTGCTCCTGCCACCCTGAGGCGGGTGTGTGGGCTGTAGCCTCATGCCTGGCTGTGGCTGTTTCAGAGATGAAGAAGGGAGGCGTTTCCCCGCTGGGCCTGAGGTGCGGCTGATTATTGCTGGGGCATCCCCCAGGACGCTGAGGAGGCCTCGGGCCGTGCTGCCGCAGGCAGGCCAGGGCTTCCGCCGGTTTCCGCCCCCCCTCCCCAAATGCCAGCCCGTAGGACACAGCAGTGCTGGGCAAGGTAAGCAAAGGCACCTTGGGAGGGGCGTCACGACTGCCCACTGCGGCCGCCACTTCCCTGTGGTGCTGCTGACGTGCCAGCCAGAGGAAGACCACTCGGTCGCAAGCCTCCTCGTTTCTTGGGCCTTATACCGTGGACTGTTCAGATGATTATTCAAATACTCTTTTCATTTAAAAGAAGAACAAACACGGCCCTCCCTGGGAGCGCAGCGGGCTGAAGAGCAGCACTGAGAAGCTAAAGCCACTGAAGCACAAGTTCTATCCCCGCCCCAGAGGTGACCCCCTGGGCGCGGCAGACCTGCCCTGACCCACCCGCTGCTCCCATCAACAGTGTATTTCAATCAATCTGCCTGCTCTGCTCCCCACTCTGTCTCTGGTGAAGCCTCTCACCGCCCCTGCACCTCTGGCCTGTACCCCAGTTCTGAATGCACAAATAAATACATCTTTAAAAAAGAAGAAGTAGAAGACAAAAAAAAAAAAAAAACCTAAAAGCTGGCAAAATCCTATTAAAAAAAAACAAAACAGCAGCACTGCATGTGAGAATATTTCTCTCTCAATCTCTCCGCCCCTCTCGTCGCTGGGGACTCTGCCTCCCTTAGCTGCAGGAACCTGCTCAGAGGCTTCTCCCCAGCGGCAGCCCTGTCCGCTCACGACTGGCCTCACTTGTTTAATAATCCATCGCGGACATCCTGTGCGGCTGGCGAGCTCTGTCCCCCGACGGTTTCACAGCACCCACCTGGCGGAGCGCCAAACCACTCAGGGCGCTCAGAGCCAGGGGTCAGGTTTCTGCACCAGCCCCGTCCCCTCTGCTGTGACTTCGTAGGATCAAGTTCTGAAAGCGTGGGCACTGCCATGGGAAACAGATGCCCCCAAGAACACTCCGCGGTCGCGTCAGGTTGTGCTCTGAGCCTCGTGTCCGTGACCCCCACACACTGCAAGTTCATGGGAAACTCGAACCCTCATGAAATCCAAGGCTCAAGGCTCAGCAGAGTGTTGAGTGATGATGAGAACAGAACCCGCGAAGTCACATAATTAGAGCAGATGAAATAAAGGGTGACAGATACTGTTTAAGAATTCATAAGCTGACTTCTCGTGTTCAGAGAAATACCCAGGACTAGAAGGGAGGCCTCTGCCTTGGGGTGTAGGTTTTGCCATGAATATTTAATTTCTCAAACTAAGGTGTTCACAGACGACATCATTTTTTTTTTTTAATTGCATTTCTGGAAAGTTCACTATAGGGAAAAAATGCTCATTGTTCTCCCCAGCAAGCACGAATCAGAGGTCCCCTCTGCAGCGGGACCCCCTGTGCAGCGAGAACCCTCCACCGCTGGTGTGGGCAGCGCTAGGGTCAGTGGCCAGCCGCACTGTCCCCAGAGGGACAAGCATCGCGTGCGGGCGCCGAGGAGTTCCCCAGTTTCACCTAGGGGCCCTGGCGCATCGTTCTCTGAGCTTCGCGTTAGCACTGAAACAGAACTGGCCAGCGCTTCCTGTGACCAGGGCATCTGACCTGCTTAGAGAGCAGTGTGCGGCGCTCACCAGCCCAGGGGTCAGCCCCTGCCGCGCCCGCGGCCCCCTCGTGGCCAGCGCCGTCACCAGGGCTGCCCATCGCTCCTGGCCGCGGCAGGCGGGCAGCAGCTTAGCCGAGGAGGGGCGCCGGGGGCTGTGCCGGCCGCCTGTGTGCCCGGCTCAGAGGCAGGGCCAGGTGTGACCCAGAGCCCGGCCTCCTGCCGTGTGTGGGCACACACCTCCCTCGGAGACGCAGCGCCGAGGCCGACAGGCCTGCATCCGCGGCAGTCAAGTCAAGGCCGACAAGCAGGGCCGAGCAGGCGCGATGGATGCGTGGCCAGAGCACAGAAGCACTGCGCGCTGGCTGAGATGCCGGGGCGCCCTCACCAGGAGCCCCAGCCCCGAAGGCCCCGGGGACGCTGAGGCCCTCGCTGCATTTCCTGCCATGTGCCGGGCGTTGCCGGAGTCTCCACACCCAGACATGGCAGGTTTCACCCCCTCTGCCAGTCCCTAGACAGACGGAACTCAGTGCAGACGGCCGTGGGGCGAGAAGTCAGATCCCACCCAAAAATGAAAACACGTAACAGACGGAAACGCTGCAGCGCCGAGAAAGCGAAGGCAAAGTGGGCCCCCGGGGCCTCGGCGCGCCCCCTCACCCCGCCCCCCCATCTGACAGCGGAACTGACCCGACGCAGCCTGGCGCAGAGCACATGTCCACAAAGGAGTCTGCCTGCAGGTTCAGAACTAAGCGTGGAAGATGCGTCAGGGCCGCGTCGGCCTGGGAAGAGTCGCCACCAGCGTGGGGCACGCGGGACGAGCCTTCAACCTTCCTCAGGCTCCATCTCCGAGGCCAGGTTTCGAGAGACATTTGATTTCCGAACGCTCAGACCTGCAGGCCGCCTGGGCCGCCCCAGTTCTGCCCGCCCACGCCCGTTTCCTGACGACTGCTAGCTCATCGCTTGCAACTCCCGGACGGCTCCGTGTGGCCTTTGACTCCTAAACAAACCCTAAACTTTGTAGAAGTTGCTTAAACTTTGTAGCGTTGAAAGAAGCAACGTAAAGAGGCAAACCATCTCTCTGCAGCTTGTAACTTGTGACTTGAGCAGGCAGCCGGGTTCCCTCCCCCTGGCGCTGGCTCAGATTCGCCCTGCTGGAGGCCGCAATCAAGCCAACCTTGTCGCCCGCAATGCGCCTTACGGCCGCGCGTGACCGAAGCAGGTAGCCGCAGGGCTCGGTAAGGCCCGGGAGAGGTTTCCTTCGCGGAAAGCGCCGCCGCCAAGGCTCACGGAGCCCACGGCGAGCCCCGTGGGTGCAGCTGCCCCGGGCGTGCCTGCCAGCCGGGCCGTCTGACCTCTCCGGTCTCCCCCGCGCCCTCATGTCCGCGGGTCCCCAGCAGATACCTGCTGGCGAAGCCCGAGACAGCGTCGTCCACGAGCCGTCGGAGCGGGCTATCGCGTTAGGGTTGCTGTGAGCCAAGAGTCATGAAATCCCGTTGAGATGTCAGATTTCCGTCTTTGACACCAGGATACAATATATTTTCTCTTCCTCATTCAAAAAAGGCAGCTACAATTAAGTCATAGTAGTGGGTTTTCGCTTCACTAAGATTCTATTTTCAGTTGCTTTTAACGCCTGAGCTGTAGAACGTGGAGTTTGGACAGGCTTTGTTTGTTCTGTTTTGTTTTCAATGTTTCTCCCCTCATGCAAAGTTTTCTTTGTTCTAGCTGCCAAGTTGGTTCAAAGAATTTTTCTGGGTGTCTAAGGTAAGAATTCATCCTGCAGATTACACAGTGAAGTAACCAGCAGCAGTAGCTGAGGACAGCCCTGGATTTTATAAGGATCTAAGACTTTCGGTTTCAAAGTGGAGTTTTCAAAGCACTGTCAGGAAGGTGTAGCCCCCCCTTTTCTCAGCGGCCAAATATCTCTCTCACAATAATCTTTCCCCGCCACAGCTAGACCTAAAGCACTAAATTTAGAAGAAGAAAAAAAAACGCCACACGGTGTCTGTTGCACGCTCCGTGCCTAACTTGGGAGCGCCTCGGAGCAAACCAAACAGACGGCACCGCATCGTGGTAACTGCACTGGTCCCCAGAGTGGCGAGGGGCGAAGCTCTGCTGAGGAGGGCAAGAAGCGCAGAGAAAACAGCTCTCTACATTCAGTTTATTAAAATAGTTTAACCTGGCCCTCCCTGGTGGCGCAGCGGGTTAAAGCACAGCACTGAGAATCTAAAAGACGCTTCCGCATGAGTTCGAGCCCCGCCTGACCCGGAGGTGACCACATGGCACAGCAGACCTCTC